CAGTTGTGCATTGAACACTGTCAACCACACATCTTGCAAGCAAGGGGCAGCCTGAGCCTGCAAGGGCCCTAAGACCTTTGCAGATTGGCCATCACTGCCAGCTCTGGCACGTCCTTAGCAATGCTGCAATACAATGTCACCACCACATCTTCTGACCCAACATCAACTCAATGGCCAAACACTTTGGATTCCAGAAAGTCAAACAGCAGACCTCATGGTCGATATGCACCAACCAAGAAAATTCAAGTGGCTGCAAAGACATGCCCTTTGTGATCACTTGACCTCTGTTGGAACATATTCTGACTGCAGCACCAACCCAGCTAATACTACTGCTTTTACACTACAGTGCAAGTCAAGCCACTGGCTGCTGCAAGCTCCAGCTCCATCTGCTTCTTCTGGCTGTGATCCTCTGGTAGCCCTCAGCACAACATCTTGCTGCTCTTCAAGTAACTAGGCCAACTTGACAGCTCCAAATTGCCTTGCCAATGCTATGCAAGGCACTCTGGCAATGGGCCACATATTGGTCAGCCCATGCTGCCCTGTTGAACTCCCTGGCAGCAAGCTTTGCCTCAGGCACGGTCACAGTGGCAGAATGCCTGCCAACTGAGCATGCAACACAGGTGTGCACTCTTCAGCTGTGAAACAACAACGCTGTGCCAAGTTGCCACAGCACCAAACCACTTCTGCACACCTGTCACCCCATTGAAGATCTCATCACATGTGATGGCAAACCTTGGCTTGACTGAACAAGTGAACAAATGACACCATTCTCTGCACACAAGCATGCACTGCCTGTGGCTAAGCAGCTCCTCAATTGGTGGGAGATCATCAGCTGAACCAGATCCAGGCAGAACCATGTGGTATTTGCCATGTCTGTAGGCAAAGACACTTGGGGAGCCAGGAGGGCCAAGGATCTTGGTGCTAGTCTTGTCACGGGTGACAACCTGGAGCGCTCCATCGTTCCTTGAATCTACAAGTCAGAATCATAAAAGGTGCAAAAGCAGCCTACTGCATCAATGCATGGGCGCTGCCAAGATGCATCCTTGAGGCTGAATATTCTGGCAAGGCCAGATTATCAGAGTGGCCGAGATCGTGTCTGCCTGTTGGGTGCCTACAGGGTGGGAACAAGCCACAGGCAAGCGCATCAAGACTCTTCCAAACATTGTGCAAAACCATTTTTGGTGTAACAAAGCAGCTGCTCAAGAAATGGTTTTGCTTCTCTTTGCCACCAATTTAACCAGGAGAGGCTGAGAGAGCTTAAACCTGGTTAGTGTTTGTTTGTGTAAGCAGTTTGTGCCAAGCACTCAACCACCCTTTTTGCACAAACTGCTCCTGGATGGAGTCTGCCACAGCTTGCCCCATCCAAGCTTCATTGCAACCTGCTCCAAGTTGCCCATGTCTCCCTTGGTGGAAAGTACTTTGAGTGTGGGTCTACGAGTGAATGGGTGCAAATGACACAGCCACACATGCTGGCACTGAGTGCAACATCAAGCTGAGAAGCACTGACCAAGGCAAACCTGCTGTTGTTGCTCTGCTTGATCTTGGTGTCCCTGGCGTGGAGCAGCACCCGCTTCCTTGGCAAACAATTTTCATTCAAACCCTCTGAGTCATCATCAATGGTCAGCAAATCCCCTGTTTGGCTCAGCACTCATTGGTTGAAAACAATTCAAAAAGCCATACCAGAATGCTTCTCACACAAGGCCAACAAGTTCACCCCAGACTGTTTGGCTGCCCACTGGGTGGCAAGGCTCAAGGTCATCCAGCACTCATGCAAACCAAGTCTGTGGCTGGGTGGTCACTCCAACCCTCATCTAACTTTAATGAAGCCAGGTTCCATCACACTCTGATAGGCAAGTGGCAGGTCTCCTCTGGAGCTTACCATCAGCTCTCTGACGCTTGTCCTTGGCGAGAGGCCAGTCAGGATGAAGAGCAGCTGCTCTAGCCCATGGTCATCCATGGCAGACAGCGCTCCTTAGTGTCTGCAAATGCATTTTTGCAACTGCCCAAACAAAAGCAAAGAAACTTCTATATGGGTGTGTCTTTTGAGGGTTATCCCTTTTGGGTTCCAAAGGGAAACCACAAGGCACCTACCATATTGGGGGCTCCCCCAAACAAAGAGACACCCAGATGTGCCAGGGTCAAGACACGGTATGTGGGATGGTCCTGGGTTCAATGAGAGTTCAAGACCATCCCCCACTATTAACCCCCAACACACCATGCTTTGACCATTGTTCATATGTTGATGCCAAGATGCCCACATCCAGGTCAGGCACCAAAGCCATCACATGGCGAACCCTCTCGGTCCTGGGGATGCTTCTGCACTAAAGCTATGCTATGCCAATGCCAAAGCACATCCAAAGAAGCCACCCAGCACATCCACTGACTGCAACCAAGCCACCTTGGCAGTGCATTCTTGCGAAGCACGTGCCTGGAGATCTGGCCAGGTGGTTGAGAGCCCCCCCACTTCGTGTAGTCAGGGCCCAAGTAGCACCAGTACCTTGGCACTCACACATGACCAGCTGCCAATGACCAGCCCCAACCCAATGTGAAACATTCCCAAAAGTACATCAATGTTGGTATGATTACACCAACATGTGGAGGGGAAATAGTTCAGTGCCAACTATTTGCAGCCAGAACTCTGCTTCAGCCTCTTCATGTCATAGGTGCCCTCTGAGATGTCACTGGCTGTCCTGCTGCTTGACCCGGAAGTGGAGCTGCTTGTGCCTGCCAAGAAACCCAGTGCTCAGAGAGAAACAAGGAGCATGGCCCTGAAATGCAAATTTCAGGAAGTGTCCCAGGAAGGTGATTGAAGCACAATGATATCTTCTTGAGACACCCCTGTCTTTGCTGCCCTAGCTGGCTTCATCAAGCATTCAAGGAGTCCCCCTGCCTCCTTTCTTCTGCTTTTTTTTCTTCTCATGTCTCTTCTTGCCCTTCTTTTTGCTTTTTTTCTCCTTCAAAAACCAATGAGCTAAGTATGAAGGATGTAGTGCACTGCCAACAATCTCTGGTCCTTCTTCTTTTTCTTGCCCTTCTTGTCTTTCTTGCCTTTGCCCTTCTTGTGCTTTCCTTTCCTGCAGCAATACTTGCAGCCAACCACCCCCCCCCCCCAACAGCTTCAATGCCATGATTGCCACAATGGCCCTGATGCCATGTGATGCACAATGATGCACACATCATGTTTGGCTCCTCTCTGATGATGAGGAGCTCTCCTCCTCATCACCATCCTCATCATCATCCACACCATCTTCTGAGGTCATCCTGCCTGAGCTGCACACCACACTCATGTCAATGCACCCCCTGACAATAATTAAGATCAAATAAGGCCAAAGTGCTGCTGGCAGGTGCAGAGCCAGGCCCAGGAGGGAAGCCCCTTTGCCTCAGATTGGCTGAGCAAGCAGAGGGCTTTAGTGGCCAGCAAGTTGGATTCACCCACTAAAGTTGCAAGCCAGCCACATGGCCCAGGGCACCATCATGCCCTGCTGGAAGGGCATGGAGGGCATGGAGGGCATGGAGGGCATGGACGAGGGCATGCCATGGCCCATGTGAGGGACATAGTCCCTGTCATAAAGAGGGGTGTGAGCCCTCTTCCTATGGCTTGGCATCCTTTCAAGGCCAAGCTCGAGCCCTACACTCTGAGGTGCAACAAAGCAAATGGCACCAGAAGTCTACACCAGGCCATCTGCAATCCCCAAGAATTTAAAAGACCTGTCCAGGAACCATCTGGAATTCCACAAAAATCTAAAAGACCTCCCCAGGAACCATCTGGAATTCTCAAGAATCTTCAAGCCCTCCCCAGGAATCTAGAGGAATCTAGACCAGGCCAAATCCAGCAAACAAAGACACCCCGAAATGAAGAGGTGCACAAGTAGAAGGCAAGAAGAAGGTTCTTAGAAGGGTTGCGAGTGTGCGACCCGCATGTTTAGTTGTGAAGGCTCCCCCCAAATGCTGGCAAGCCTGGGAGCCACCATTTGGTTTGATATTCAAGAAATGGACGAGCAACACTATTTTTGTCACTTGCTCATGTTGGCAAAATGGAGAGACTTTTTGTGTGGACTTGATCGGCGTAAGGCTCGAGATTTAGCACCTGGTCAAGGGAAAGGCAAAGGACACCAAACCAATTTCCTAGCCTTGTATCATCTGTCAAAACCTCGGACAGTCCCACAAATAACTTGCTGCCTGTGAAAACAACCGCCAGAACAAGCAAAGGCAAACAAAACAACATCAATTTGCATACGACACCGCTCCCCTCAAGTCGAGGGCAACAAGAAGCACAGGGGGTTGGCAGATTCTAAGAATTCCTTGGTTATCCTTCAAAATCACCAAACAAGGGGTACCCTCAAACAAACAAGAAGACACGCCCATGTGTACACACCCCCGCCCACACACACACACACACACCGCCCGACTCAGCGGCGATTGGCAGCAGCTGCAGACATGCAAGTTCCGATCAGCTCCGTCACATGTTGCCATTGAAACCAAAACACCGCCAACACTCATTTCAGTGAAAAGGGCCAGAAAAGTCTCTGGACCCTCAAACTACCCCTAAGAAAGGGAAATCACCAACCATTATGATTTGGTTGGCAAACCCATTCTGATAGGTAGTCTAAGGGTCTGGACGTTCCGTTTACGATTGTACCCGCAAAAGTTTCAGGCCAAGAACTCAGCGGCAAGGGGTGTCTGATTTCTGCAAGCACTTGGACAGGATTCGGTGGGTCCGATTCATGTCCAACTGAGGCGATTCCGTCGCTCCATCGCCACTTTGGTGCAATCAACCATTTCAGCCCCGGCCCCGTTGAAACACGAACCAAGTTCTGGTACCAAAGCTCGCCATCCCTCTTGCCATCTTGTCCGTCGGGCGATATTTTTTTGAGACACCACCCACAATTGTGTCCCCCATATTTGTTTTTTCTTTTAAAAAGAAAAACAACTAAAACAACATCCAAAAAAAAACAAAAAAAACATCCCATGTCTTGCGCCAGAAGCCTGGGCTCCCGCGCTTCTCCAGGCGCCTCGCAGGGGAAATGCGAAAGACCCGACTTGGCCTCCGTTGGGTGGAAGCAGGGAACGAGACATGGAACGACCCCGATTTAAACCAACCAACGGGCGGTTGCCTAAAATTTCGGGGACCAAGTCCTGGGTTCATTCCCACATTCCAGACCGAAAGCGGCGGAAGTAAATTGCAAGCTTTAAAGGGGATACCGGCAGTGACTCGTGTTCTTCACCGCCTGAAAAAGGCTATAAGCCTAGCAAACCCCACGTAAACCCCACTTAGGACTTTTCACCCAACTTGTAATAACCAAACACAGGCGGCCAAGCAAAAATGACTTAAATTCAGGTTTTCCTCGTGTCTGCGTTCCTCGGGGTTTGCTCCTAAACTGCGAACCTTGGCATTGGGATCTCGGCTAGCTTCGCCAAAGCGATCTGCATGCGTGTTCTCTTGGTGTTCACCGACTCAGTTTCATTGGAACGAAACAAGCAACACATTCACCTTAAGCCTGGGCGCGCAGATCCCCTGCGGATCTAGTGACTCACTGTTGGTGGGTGAAATACGGAAAAACTACCACGAAACCCAGCGAAAACAAATCCACCGTTAAAAAGGTGATTCACTTTTCGTGGGTGAAATACGGAGACTGCCACGAAACCAACGAAAAAGGATCTAACAAAGGGAGCGGATGGCCATGGCCTTCGGGAGCCGAATGCTCCCTTCGAGCGCGGCTCGAGCGCGGCTTGCGCTGTGGCCTTCTGAGGGCTTCGTCGAGGTCCCAGGGGCGGTTCGTGGCAGCCAGGACCATCACCTACGGCTCGCAGGTGCCGGGGTTTTGGGGGGGAGGGGATAGGAAAGGTTTGAGGGGTTTGGAGGGTTGAGGGGGTTTGGGATGTGGGGGGGGAAGGTTAATCAAGTGCTTGGGGGGTCTCAAGTTGGGTGTGATTTGCGGTTCGAAGTACCTGGACCCCGTAAAGATGGGCTGCCAGCCAAAATCATGGCGGGTGAAACCCCAAGTCTTGAAGGGAATTTTGGGCGTCCAGGTAACTTCGACTCTGGAACATGGAAAGGAAAACAGAGGTACCTGGAGTCTCCAAAAACGACCCAACAATGAGTATTTGGTCACGATCTCTGTCTTTCGATTATTTCAAGCATCACCTTGTTGGCCACAAAAATGGTCCAGGCCAAAAGTGACTAAAGTCCAGGAACTCAGGAAGTGAGAAAAGGCCGACGTTCCTTTTCGGCTTCCCCCACAAGAGCACCCCACAAGGGTACCTACAAAACAACTCATAAAACAACCCCTGCAAGAATAGCAAGAATGAGGGTGTGTCTGTTTCGCGGGAAACCCCCAAAATGGGCTGGCTTGAAGGGAACACATCCACAAGAGGGGCTGGAAACTGCCAGGACGTTGGAATACTCAGCTCTAAAAACTTCCAGTAGGGGGCCCCAAGAGTGCTCTGAATCCAACCACTAAAAAGAATTGGAGCCACACCCAATCAAAATCAACCAGGGTTTAACTTCCTCCCGGGTCCCTTTTTTCAGGGGAACTCAACAAAAATGGGTTGGTTCAAAGGCAAACTTAAGGGATCCCCAATTTTGGCATGTTCCAAATCTAAAAAAAAAACGAGCCAGCCACAAGGGGCCCAGAACTTGGTTGCTGTTGACCCCTCTGCAGAGAATACCCTCTCCCAGGCCATTCCATGGAAGCTGCCAGAACTTTGGAAGATGTGGTGACCCATTTACAAAGGCCCAATGGGGGGAGCTTGCGGCTGTTAATCTGAGGGAGTGTACCTAATCCCACCTGTTTCAACCAAACAGCTCAAGTTCAAAGATCCGATACCAAGTATCCATGTCGAAGGGTTCTCAGAGATGGGGGGGGGTCTTCTTTCAACCTGAAACGCTTCAACAGCTGGAGAAGAAGAAAAAAAAACTCAAACATCAAAACTCCCCCAAAAGCTCAAACAGTAAACATTAGACTGGTTTGAAGGGAAAGCCCCAAACTGCCCTTTTGGGTCCACGACAACACGCGCCAAAAAAAGCGCGGCTCCGTCAGTCGCGCCCGCCGCTTGCGCCGCTTGCGTCGCTGGCGCCTGGCGTTGGGCCGGGGCCTCGCTGCCATCCTCCTGCGTGGTGCCCACGCCTCTCGCGGATACGGATCTGGACGGAGCCGCTCGGGTCGGGTCGGATCCGGAGTCGGCTCCAAAAAGAAAAACGACCCATGGTTGGTGATATCTAAAAGGTTGGTGAGACCCGAAGGGTGAGATTTTGCCATTTCATTCATGGTGATTTTATATCTTGGGTGGGGGGGGGGGGGAGTTTGGTTTCAGAGTCCAGGTTCAGCTCTTGAAAGGGCACATCTACAGAGATGCAGCCTCGAAACGCTCATGTTTAGATTGGTCCAAGCAAGCAGGACTAACACAAATATTCGGGGAATTTCCAGGTGTGTTGGAGGTATGGAAGTTTTTATACCACTTATATAACGGACGTCTACTGCCAAGCTTACTTTGGTGGATACAAATCTAGCCATCAATCTGAAGGTCGTGTCAATATATAGAGAAATTGACGAAACAAATGCTTGAAGGAGTTCGAGGCTATCTATGCTATCTTTGTTGTTGTGGTTTTCAAGAGAAAAAACAACGCCAACCACTGATGTCTGCACAAAAGGAAACACCCATATATGGACAACCCCTCCACAAGAGGATAACGTGTTCTTCGCTGTATCTCTTCATCATTGTGATCGAACATCTATCCAAAAACCAATGTAGTGCCACAACCATAACTAATTACTGAAACATGAATATACTGTTCCAGGTAGGAACTGCTAGATCTTGATTGTGGTGGTGCACCGCAGAGACGTCATGTTCCTAGCCGATGGACAACACAAATGCAGTTTCATGTTGACTCGGTTTCATTCTATACCAACTGAAAATCAGGAATCTTGCACAAGGCGCACAAACCAAATAAATCAATGAATGTCCAGAGAAGTAACGGTGAGAATTTGTTGATGAAAGGAACAAGGGTCTTCACCCCATATGATTTCCTTTGTCAATGGTTGACTGGTGAGTGACCATCTTGTTGACCAAGCCCTTCAGTCTGACCGCAAAACCCCACAAGGGGTACTGACTCATGTTCCGCAACCCAGGTTGATTTCCTCAGACAAGGGAAGCGCTTGGGATTGTCACCTACTTGTCACCAATAGTGACCATTAGGCTGCAATGACTCCCTTGCATATGACCAAGTGGGTTCCCAAAAAACAACACACACACACACACACCTAAAACAAAACACAGATATAACAACCCCCTTGTTGATTTGATTGTGAATTTCAATCCGAAGACTTTGGCGGACAACATTTACGCAGGGATTTGTGTCAACCATTTCGGAGCGGGATCTTCCTATTAAAATTCAAGGTCGCGTCAATAGGGCCCACCATTTTCAAAAAGAACCCTGTTTCTTTTAGTGGTTCCCAATTTGGTGAATCCTCCCATTTGCCGGGAAGCACCCCTCCCACCGACCGCCGATACCGAGTTTTCCGGCCATCCATCTGGACTAACAGCTCTGCCTTCACCTTGGCGATTTGAACAGACTTCTCACGATTCGGTCCGGAGGAAAACATACCCCTGTGAACTTCCAAGGAAAACCAAGGGCGCCCCGTTTAGGCTGATCTGCTCCACAAATAAATGATTCATGAGCTGCAAGAAACCGTCATCAAACCCTCAGGCTCATTTTGCCAGGTGAGCTCCCGTGTGTTGTGCAAACACATAATATATGTGTTAGCTTCAACCATGGATTCATCACTCCAAATAATCTCAACGGGAAGCATACTTGGCCCGCAAACAAGCAACCCAACAAACCTGCCAACGACCAAGCACCCAACCATCATCCAGCCAACCGACCGACCGACCGACCAGCGACCAACCGACCATTCAACCCAACCAACCAAGCGACCAACCGACTAGCCGGCCCAAACAGCCCAAGCGGCCCAACCAACCAACCGATCCAACCAAACAAGCCAAACAAACAAATCATCAGGGAAACCCGTTCCATCCAGCCTGCATAAAGCCTTCACACTTGATTTTCGCAGTATTGCATCGACATGACCCCCCAACTGTTCTCACAAAAGCCCAAGGGCGGTTGGGCAGGGGTCAGTCCCAAATTCCGCACACCAGGGTCAAAGCAGATGTCGCATTCCCGTTTAGGTGGTGAGGAGCAGACAAGACGAGTATGTGGCACATGCTTGTCGATGACCGACACGCAAGCCACCCATTTGCACCCAGCTGGTCTAAACACTGGACCACTAGCCTCCGGTTCAGTCAGCAGCGCTAAACAAATCGGGGCTCAGACTTCACCATCTTTGTTTTACTGTTCAGGATTGTGGCCATTCTTTAAATGGATCGTTTGAACCCACAAATAGGGGTCTTGTTTTGGGGGGGTGAGGTTGGACAGGTACACCTCGTAGGGTAAAATATGTACTGAAGAGGTAAATGACCAAATGTAGAGAAAGCAGTGTTTGATTCCAATAGAAGCACATGTAAGCCGGTTTTTTCTATGAGCTAGAGACTGTAAAAGCTACCAGGCCTTGAGCCAGGAAATGGCAATGAGATTGCTGCATGACTGGGTGCTGTGGGTCAAGCGCAGAACAAACGAGAAACACCCCCATTTTCTGCAAAAAAATCCCTCCTATTACCGAACTCAAAAAAAGATGTCCTCCTTTTCTCGCAGCCGTCAGGGCTGGAGGTTGACCTCCTGCGTGGTGAGCCCCCATTTTCTCCTTTTCTTTTGTTGGGTTCGGCCCTGTGTCTCAGCGGCTCGTGGTTGGCCGCCCCGTGCTCTATCTGGATGTTTTTTTCGGCCCAGATGAACTCGTACGTTTTTCTGTTGCGTCTGAGTTGTCCGCCATGCCCTGTTGCGCGCAGGCTGCCGCGGGCAGCGCGAACAGCATGTCGAATTTGAGAGTCTGCTGGAAACAGGGTCGTCAACTATTCTCCTGCGTGTCAGATTTCAAGGCTCGCGCTCAAGCGTTGGTCGCGAAGCGAAAGCACTGTGTCAATTTTAAAAGTCTGCTGGAAACAAGGTCGCCCATTCTTCTCTGGAGTCTTCTCTGCCTGTCAGACTTCGGAGGTCGGCCTGGTCGTCTGAGCCTTGGCTTTGGCTCTCGGCTTTGCTCTCCCTGGGCCTGCATCACTGGCCTCGGAGACTGCTGTACACCTTGCGCGCTGTTGCCCTCTCCAACCGGGAGCCAGTCAGTCCTTCGGACTGGCCCATGAGGATTAGGCGGTGAGCTCGCCGAACCCGAGAGGCGGCCACGTAGGCGTAGCCTCGGTCTGGCCTCCTCTTGTCAAACCACAGCGGCGCACTCCAAGCTCGAGCGTTCCCCGCCTCTTCCGCGTGACAAACAGCGAGGCCCCGCCGACGCAAGTAGACTTCGCCTGATGGCTGGGACAGGAGGTGGGGGCTGCAAACAGATATCTACGCTGAGAGACGCTGGCCGCCGCCTGAAGCAGGCGCTCTAGCTCGAACCTTTTGCTCCTTTTTGTTCCTTTTGTATTCTCTTTGTCGCGTAGACTGGGTTTTGGCCACCTGAGTTCTACTGCGTCATCTCCTGCTTGATTATCTTGCTCACGGTATCTCTCAGAGAAGACTGCAGCTCAGTGCACCGTGCCGAGGGTGTGCGCAATCTGACCGAAAGGATTTCAACATTCACCACCTCCAATGGCTCACTCGCTGCGACCCAGGCCAATCTTCGCGTTCTTGCGGACTCGTGGTTTGGGGGATTTACAAGGTCAGAAATGAGCCCATTCCAGGCAGTAGTCGCAGCTCTCGGCCGTCCAAGCGCCAATCACATCGCGCGACCTGAAGCTCGATAGAAGGCCGTTCTTGAAAATCAAAAATCCAGCTCCTGCCGAGCGCCATAAAAAAAGTACTGGCCGCTGTTCTTGACTGGCAGGGTAGTGACTGACCGTGCTTCATCCAACTCCCACTTCCTCCAGTGATCGGCGCCAAAATGTTTTAAAACCTGGACAATCAGCGACTCGCCGCCTCACCAACCTGGATCATCTGCAATAGGACTAGCCCATTCTGGAGTATACGCTTTTATGGAAGCCCCACACATTTCCTTCTCGCACTTATGTGCGCAGTCTGCCAAATTTTGAAATGAGCCTTGCCCTGGATGGCAGCGTCGAAATCCGACTGTGTCTTGAAGCCACCCACATACGGACTACTCCCCAGAGCGCTGACCCAAGAGGCAGAGCCGGCTCCTGATCACTGTTGCGCTGTCTTGTCTTTGTTTGTTTTGTGGCAGGCAGCTTGTTTGTGGCGCGGATGGGTGAAGTTTAGCTGGTTTGCCTGCAATGTCTAGAATTGCCTGTTGCAGTTTGCAAAGAGGCGACACTGTCCATTCAGCCTTCCACTGAAAACCAACAAGGCAAGGGTCCATGTCCGGCATGAACACAAGGAACCGTGAAAAGTGTCCGTTCCCAAAAGCACAGTCGTCCTCACTGTTGTGTTCCGTGTCAATGCGCAACAACGTCATGATATGGTTTTGTGTCTGTTGTTTCGTTGATTAAAACGCTTTGTGAAGTGGCTAAGAACGAGAGAGGGCGGGGTCAAGGTACAGATTTCGTGGGCGCTGCAGCACTGTCGATGCACTCTCTGCAAACTAGGGGACCGAAAACGTTTACCCGGTGCGTGAACTAAGCTCCTCGGAGAGCGCGCAAACCACTTCGGCTGCGACGCCCGTACGGGGGCGAGTTCAGAGCAGATTCGGAACGAGTGCACAGCAACTTGCGAGGAGAAGGAATGGTGAACCAAGCCGCGAGTGCTAATATGCCTATATATATACACATTTCTAGTTGTACTTTGATTCGAAGAGTATATACGAAAGGAGTGCCACCCATCTCCATGAAGACACAAATGGTGTAAAATCAGCACCAAATTACAAATGCTGCAGATCCAAACACAAAATAATGTGATGCAAAAAAATCGTCTCAAAACCAGCAATGCCTCAAGACAAAGGGAAACCGGACAGCCCGCTTTGCGGCTTTGTGGGCTGCGAATCGCACTTGAGCCGCAGCGTTGGCTTTTCTTTCTGGTTTCTCTTTCAACCAGCGGGCAACCAAATAGCTGCGCGGATATGCGGATTCTAGTAAACTTGGTCCTCCAACTCGGCCTATTTTAGAAAATGGAGTCATCCAATCCAGACTGAGAAATTTATAATTTTAGAAAATGGGGGGGGCCAACCTAGGACCCTTCCTGGCCCACAACTTAGAAAATGGGGGGCCCAACCCCACCATGGGAGATGACGTCCTTGGAGAAAACAAGCCCAAACTGAGCTAATGTCGTCGAACCAGTTGTGGGCACTGACCCTTATAAACCCATCCAACTGGTAGTTTCCCTTACTCAGGAATCTCCAGGTTCATTCAAACCACAAGTTGGTACTAGTTCTGGGAATGACCCTCAAAACACCATCCATTTCCAGTGGTTTCCTTCGGGAATCCCCAGGTTCATTCCATTTCTCATTCACCTATCGCGCCAGCCTCGGGGAGGCCTCCCCATTCGACGCATCCGGGTGCGCGGCCCAATCGGGCGGCCGAATCGGGGCCCCGCACGCGACGGGAGGCCTCGTGCTCGCTGGCGTCCCCGCGCTTGCTGCCCAGCCTAAGGCACCGAGACTGCGTAGCTTGGCAGTTTGTGTCTGGGCAAATGTATCATATACACATATATCGATTTGTATATACACGTGTTGTGCATAATATCTATGTATGTATGTATATAGTTATACATATATATATATATATATCAATACGCACATATATCGGTTGTTGCCCGGCCAAAACCTAGGTGCTCACGACGTGTCACACTGAACAGTAGCTAAAATTACAAACAGTAACAGTCACACTGTCAGACCCATGAAAGTCAAGAGAAAAACTGGCTGATGTAAAAACAGGTTGATTGTTCGGAGTTGTATTTCTGGGCAAAAAAAAAACATAACTGCCTGAAGTAAGCCTTGTTTTTAGTGGGGAAAAGTAAAAGGCAAAACTACCTGAGGTAAAAATACATTTACTTTGTGGAGTGAGACGTTGTTTCCTTCACATGGAGGCAGAAGTTCTATGTTTGAGCCTGCTTTACTGATACGGGAAAAGAGTGGACAAGTAAAACTGTCAAAAGTAAACACATATGCCTTTTGCATCCCAGATTGTACGTGCAGTGCATTTGTACAAGGTATTTGTATAGCCACAAAGCCTCACAGAGTAGCCCAGATGTTTGTGGAGATAGAGTAGGCACCCGCATGGCAACAATTACATGACACGCTTGTGAGGGTTGAGTAAGACTTGCGAAGGCAGGCTGCGTCCTCTTGCGTTGCGTTTGCGTACCGCAGCTTCTGCAGCACCAAGCTTCAGCCACACACTCCCAATCTCTCAGTCCTGTGGCTCAAATACGCGAAAGAGTTACAGCAGGAGGAGTCGTCACACCATTCAACCGAGTGAACCATGCAGTGTCTGGATCCAGCTGGCACCAACAATGCAAATGCCAGGTTAAAACTTTAAATGCAAACTGCTGCATGCTGCTAACACCCGATGAACCCTCGCAACGACCTCTGCAAATGCTTCTTCCCACAACATGTCTGCTGTGCCTCGAGTATAGTGGTCAGCAGGCTACGCAAGAACAGCCCCTGGCCGTGGAGTGATTCAAGAACGCCTTCTCTGCACTGCGCGGCACCTAGCTATCATGATGGATAGCGAGGTGTTTGACAGCAGTGCATCGCAGAGCCGCTTGCAGCCTGAGCAGCAAAGAACCACTGCACGATCGTTGCACCGAGTTTAGCCAAACAAAGACCCTCGCACGCTTTGCAACACGCCTCACACGTTGCCAGGGCAAACACAAGGCGCCAGATCTTGCTTGGGCATTGGGCCCCGCAAATTTTCCTGAGGCTCAGATAGGAGCGAAAGACTTAGCAGGAATCGTCATGCGAGTCCGTCCGAGTGAACTATGCAGTGCTTCTCCTCATTGCCTCACACCGAAGCCAAGCAACACCAACGCCAAGGACAGGTCAAGCAGGAACACTCGCCACGACCACTGCAAGTACTTCTTCCACCAACAAGTCTCCTGTGCCTCGAGTATAGTGGTCAGCAGGCTTTGACAGAACAGCCCCTGGCCGTGGAGTGATTCAAGAACGATTCTCTGCACTGCGCGGCACCCAGCTGTCATGATGGATAGCGAGGTGTTTGATAGCAGTGCATCTCGAAGCCATTTGCAGCCTCAGAAACAAAGAAATACAACACCGTTGCACAGATCTTAGCCACAGTGAGTACTGTATGTGACAAGATTCCTTTGCACGCTTTGCAACACGCGTCGCGCAAACACATTCCGCCTGATCTTGCTTGGGCATTGGGCCCCGCAAATTTCCCTGCGGCTCAGATAGGAGCGAAAGACTTAGCAGAAATCGTCACGCGAGTCCGTCCGAGTGAACTATGCAGTGCTTGTCTCCTCCTTGCCTCGCACCGAAGCCAAGCAAAACCAACGCCAAGGACAGGTCAAGCTGGAACCCTCGCCACGACCACTGCTGTACTTCTTCCACCAACAAGTCTCCTGTGCCTCGAGTATAGTGGTCAGCAGGCTTTGACAGAACAGCCCCTGGCCGTGGAGTGATTCAAGAACGCCTTCTCTGCACTGCGCGGCACCTAGCTATCATGATGGATAGCGAGGTGTTTGACAGCAGTGCATCTCGAAGCCGTTTGCACCCTGAACAACAAAGGCCAACTACACCATCGTTGCACAGAGCTCAGCCACCGTGAGTGATGCATGCAACAAAAGACCCTCGCACGCTTTGCAACACGCATCGCGGGCAAAAGCAAACCACAAGAATCTTGCTTGGGCATTGGGGCCCGCAACTGTTCCTGAGGCTCAGATAGGAGCGAAAGACTTAGCGGGAATCGTCACGCGAGTCCGTCCGAGTGAACTATGCAGTGCTGTTCTCCTCCTTGCCTCGCACCGAAGCCAAGCAAAACCAGCGCCAAGGCAGGTCAAGCAGGAACCCTCGCCACAACTTCTGCAAGTACTTCTTCCACCAACAAGTCTCCTGTGCCTCGAGTATAGTGGTCAGCAGGCTTTGACAGAACAGCCCCTGGCCGTGGAGTGATTCAAGAACGATTCTTTGCACTGCGCGGCACCCAGCTGTCATGATGGATAGCGAGGTGTTTGACAGCAGTGCATCTCGAAGCCGTTTGCAGCCTGAGCAACCAAGGACCACTACTCCATCGTTGCACAAAGTTCAGCCACCGTGAGTGATGCATGCAACAAAAGACCCTCGCACGCTTTGCAACACGCATCGCGGGCAAACGCAAAACCACAAGAATCTTGCTTGGGCATTGGGCCGCGCAAATGTTCCTGAGGCTCAGATAGGAGCGAAAGACTTAGCATGAATCGTCACGCGAGTCCGTCCGAGTGAACTATGCAGTGCTTGTCTCCTCCTTGCCTCGCACCGAAGCCAAGAAACCAACGCCAAGGGCAGGTCAAGCAGGAACACTCGCCACTGCAAGTACTTCTTCCACCAACAGGTCTCCTGTGCCTCGAGTATAGTGGTCAGCAGGCTTTGACAGAACAGCCCCTGGCCGTGGAGTGATTCAAGAACGCCTTCTCTGCACTGCGCGGCACCCAGCTGTCATGATGGATAGGGAGGTGTTTGACAGCAGTGCATCTCGAAGGCGTTTGCACCCTGAACAACAAAGGCCAACTACACCATCGTTGCAAAGGGTTCAGCCACCGTGAGTGATGCATGCTACAAAAGACCCTCGCACGCTTTGCAACACGCATCGCGGGCAAACGCAAACCACAAGAATCTTGCTTGGGCATTGGGGCCCACAACTGTTCCTGAGGCTCAGATAGGAGCGAAAGACTTAGCGGGAATCGTCACGCGAGTCCGTCCGAGTGAACTATGCAGTGCTGTTCTCCTCCTTGCCTCGCACGGAAGCCAAGCAAAACCAGCGCCAAGGCAGGTCAAGCAGGAACCCTCGCCACAACTACTGCAAGTACTTCTTCCACCAACAAGTCTGCTGTGCCTCGAGTATAGTGGTCAGCAGGCTTTGACAGAACAGCCCCTGGCCGTGGAGTGATTCAAGAACGATTCTCTGCACTGCGCGGCACCCAGCTGTCATGATGGATAGGGAGGTGTTTGACAGCAGTGCATCTCGAAGCCGTTTGCAGCCTGAGCAACAAAGGACCACTACACCATCGTTGCAAAGGGTTCAGCCACCGTGAGTGATGCATGCAACAAAAGACCCTCGCACGCTTTGCAACACGCATCGCGGGCAAACGCAAAACCACAAGAATCTTGCTTGGGCATTGGGCCGCGCAAATGTTCCTGAGGCTCAGATAGGAGCGAAAGACTTAGCATGAATCGTCAAGCGAGTCCGTCCGAGTGAACTATGCAGTGCTTGTCTCCTCGTTGCCTCGCACCGAAGCCAAGAAACCAACGCCAAGGGCAGGTCAAGCAGGAACACTCGCCACTGCAAGTACTTCTTCCACCAATAGGTGTCCTGTGCCTCGAGTATAGTGGTCAGCAGGCTTTGACAGAACAGCCCCTGGCCGTGGAGTGATTCAAGAACGCCTTCTCTGCACTGCGCGGCACCCAGCTGTCATGATGGATAGCGAGGTGTTTGACAGCAGTGCATCTCGAAGGCGTTTGCACCCTGAACAACAAAGGCCAACTACACCATCGTTGCACAGAGCTCAGCCACCGTGAGTGATGCATCAACAAAAGACCCTCGCACGCTTTGCAACACGCATCGGGGGCAAACGCAAACCACAAGAATCTTGCTTGGGCATTGGGCCCCGCAACTGTTCCTGAGGCTCAGATAGGAGCGAAAGACTTAGCGGGAATCGTCACGCGAGTGCGTCCGAGTGAACTATGCAGTGCTTGTCTCCTCCTTGCCTCACACCGAAGCCAAGCACAACCAACGCTTCCACCAACAAGTCTGCTGTGCCTCGAGTATAGTGGTCAGCAGGCTTTGACAGAACAGCCCCTGGCCGTGGAGTGATTCAAGAACGCCTTCTCTGCACTGCGCGGCACCCAGCTGTCATGATGGATAGCGAGGTGTTTGACAGCAGTGCATCTCGAAGCCGTTTGCAGCCTGAGCAACCAAGGACCACTACTCCATCGTTGCACAGAGTTCAGCCACCGTGGGTGATGCATGCAACAACAGACCCTCGCACGCTTTGCAACGCGCATCGCGGGCAAACGCAAAACCACAAGAATCTTGCTTGGGCATTGGGCCGCGCAAATGTTCCTGAGGCTCAGATAGGAGCGAAAGACCTAGCATGAATCGTCACGCGAGTCCGTCCGAGTGAACTATGCAGTGCTTGTCTCCTCCTTGCCTCGCACCGAAGCCAAGAAACCAACGCCAAGGGCAGGTCAAGCAGGAACACTCGCCACTGCAAGTACTTCTTCCACCAACAGGTCTCCTGTGCCTCGAGTATAGTGGTCAGCAGGCTTTGACAGAACAGCCCCTGGCCGTGGAGTGATTCAAGAACGCCTTCTCTGCACTGCGCGGCACCCCAGCTGTCATGATGGCTAGCGAGGTGTTTGACAGCAGTGCATCTCGAAGCCGTTTGCAGCCTAAACAACGAAGGGCCACTACACCATCGTTGCACAAAGTTCAGCCACCGTGAGTGATGCATGCAACAAAAGACCCTCGCACGCTTTGCAACACGCATCGCGGGCAAACGCAAACCACAAGAATCTTGCTTGGGCATTGGGCCGCGCAAATGTTCCTGAGGCTCAGATAGGAGCGAAAGACTTGGCAGGAATCGTCATGCGAGTCCGTCCGAGTGAACTATGCAGTGCTTGTCTCCTCCTTGCCTCGCACCGAAGCCAAGCACAACCAACGCCAAGGACAGGTCAAGCTGGAACCCTCGCCACAACCACTGCTGTACTTCTTCCACCAACAAGTCTCCTGTGCCTCGAGTATAGTGGTCAGCAGGCTTTGACAGAACAGCCCCTGGCCGTGGAGTGATTCAAGAACGCCTTCTCTGCACTGCGCGGCACCCAGCTGTCATGATGGATAGCGCGGTGTTTGACAGCAGTGCATCTCGAAGGCGTTTGCACCCTGAACAACAAAGGCCAACTACACCATCGTTGCCAGGGTTCAGCCACCGTGAGTGATGCATGCAACAAAAGACCCTCGCACGCTTTGCAACACGCATCGCGGGCAAACGCAAACCACAAGAATCTTGCTTGGGCATTGGGGCCCACAAATGTTCCTGAGGCTCAGATAGGAGCGAAAGACTTAGCGGGAATCGTCACGCGAGTGCGTCCGAGTGAACTATGCAGTGCTTGTCTCCTCCTTGCCTCGCACCGAAGCCAAGCAAAACCAACGCCAAGGACAGGTCAAGCTGGAACCCTCGCCACAACCACTGCTGTACTTCTTCCACCAACAAGTCTCCTGTGCCTCGAGTATAGTGGTCAGCAGGCTTTGACAGAACAGCCCCTGGCCGTGGAGTGATTCAAGAACGCCTTCTCTGCACTGCGCGGCACCTAGCTATCATGATGGATAGCGAGGTGTTTGACAGCAGTGCATCTCGAAGCCGTTTGCAACAAAGAACCACTACCCCATCGTTGCACAGAGTTTAGCCACAGAGAGTACTGCACGCAACAAAAGACCCTCGCACGCTTTGCAACACGCATCACGGGCAAACACAAAACCACCAGAATCTTGCTTGGGCATTGGGCCCCGCAAATGTTCCTGAGGCTCAGATAGGAGCGAAAGACTTGGCAGGAATCGTCATGCGAGTCCGCCCGAGTGAACCATGCAGTGCTGTTCTCCTCCTTGCCTCGCACCGAAGCCAAGCAAACAACGCCAAGGGCAGGACAAGCAGGAACCCTCGCCACGAGCACTGCAAGCACTTCGTCCAAATGAAACTCTTGTGTGCGAGTTTAGTTGTCAGCATGATTCAAGACCGCCTACTCTGCACTGCGCGGCACCCAGCTGTCATGATGGATAGCGAGGTGATTGACAGCAGTGCACACCCGAAACACAGAAGCATGCACGGAGCAGGAAGTGCAACCTGGAAACACCTCCTGGCTGCAAATACTTAGAGGTCTTAGAAAGAATAAAGAAATACTGCGAAGGTAGACGGCGCAATGCCTGTTATGTGGGTAAGCAAAGGGGTAACTAAACGTTCACTTTGGGGCAAATCAACAATCAGTGGCTATTTAGCAAGCCGACCTTCAGCACTCGCGCCAACTTGTTCAAGGGTAGTCCTTTGACCTTCGTCAAAGCCCAGACCCCCAGTTGTGGGAACAAACTGGCACCCTTTCTTTGTTGCTTGGCTATTCAGCTTCCCTCTAATTGGTGGCAATTTACCCACAAAAGCCAAGGGTTCAAATCCCAAACCACCAATCCAAAAAGAAACTCACTGGAGGTCGATGGTGGCAAGACTCATTTGATACGCCTTACGCGCCCCCAATCAAGTCTCTGCAAACACTTGGCGGTACACCAAGAACCGTTTCAGGCTCCAGCCATCCTAATTAGTCCAGAAAGTATATGACACAATTGTGAGGCGACCCCAGAAAAGAGCCCTTTGCCGAATGGGCCTTTTAATCGTAGAAACATTGAACTTGTATACATATATATATATATATATAGCAACTCAAAGGTCGTTTGTTTAAAAGAAATCGAAACGCGTTTGACGCAGCCGGTTCGACCCAAACCGACCAAAACGAGTGGCGCATCTACCTCGTCGAAGAAGATGGTCGTCGGCGCATAAAATCGCGCCATCCTGAATGCGATGCGATTCGGGGGGTTGGCGTTGGACGACCAGGGCCCCAAATCCCCAAACCACCAACTAAGGGTTTCCTGAGCCAAAAAAAACACCATGAGTATTTAGTATGCCTTTTTTGCGACTGCATCCGTGGACTTGCGATGATGATGCGTTCAATTAAATCAGGGGCTTGGATGGGTGGTTTGGGGGTTTGGGGGGCGTTTTGCATTTATCCTCTACGACGACCAGGGCCTCAAATCCCGAAACCACCAATTAAGGGTTACCTGAACCAGGCAACCAAGCAAAAAGTATGAGTCTTCCTTTGGGATTTTCCAACAAAACAACATATCGAAACCCACATTGAACACATACTCTGTTTGGGGACGTACTACCCGAAAACTCGAGCGTTGCGAAAACGGCCTGCCCTCTGGAAATTGAAACAAAGTCATGTGTATGTATATATACACATATACATATGTGTGGTTTACATGCATAATATATATATATGCACACCGCCTCCACATAGGGAAGCCTCCTTGAAACTAATTGGCGGTTTTGCCTTGGTGTCGCTTTCCAAGAAACCTCAAAGGGGTATTTACTTCCAAGAAAGGGTCCAACACCTGAAGTAAGGGATCCCCAAGCAAACGACCTACATCGTAGTGAGCTCAGACTCTAATCCCAGGTGAATTGGCAGACTGAAAATGCACTTGACAGAATGTGAACCCCCAAGGTCCACTTCAGCGAGCACTCAGGTTCCAAATATACCTTTATATACATGTGTGTGTATATCCGCCGACCCCTTTCTTTAAAGGGAAGGCGCATGGGAAGGGCTTGTCTTTGTCCTTGTCTAAGTGATGATTATCACCACTGATGTCGGGTGATGGTTCACATCATCCGGATCATCATCATTACCGTGGCGCTCTTCTTTTTCATACGTTTCAAGTGTGCCGTTAGACCCGACTGGAAATGCAGAGGATGTGTTGTCATGATCATGTTCCTCATCATGTTCATCATCGTCATCATCATCCTGATGATCATCATCATTACGCATCCTCAGCATCACCAGCAGTTAACGTCATCACTATGCAAGCAGCAGTTTTCATGACAATCATGACAACGCATCTTCTGCATTTCTAGTCGGGTCTAAAGGGACACTGAAACGTATATGAAAATGAAGAGCACGGTTTTGATGATGAACATGATGAGGAACATGATCATGCCACCATCATCATTTTCATCATCATGTTCATCATCATCATTTTCATCATCATGTTCATCATCATCATCCTGATGATAATCATCACTACGCATCCTCAGCATCACCAGCAGTTAACTGTCATCACTATGCATCCCCAGCATCAGCAGCAGTTATCATGACAATCATGACACGCATCCTGTGCATTTCCAGTTGGGTCTAAAGAAGAGCGCCACGATTATGGTGAGGAACGTGATGATGCAAATGATGATGATGATGATGATGATCGTGATGATGATGATGATGATGATGATGAACACCATCATCACTTTCATCATCATTTTCATCATGGTTCATTTTCACCATCATGTTCATCATCAGCACCATCATTTTCATCATCATGTTCCGCATCATGTTTGTCATCATCATCATCCTGATGATAATCATCACTACGCATCCTCAGCATCACCAGCAGTTAACAGTCATCGCTGTGCATCCCAAGCATCAGCAGCTGTTATGATGAAAATGAAAATGATGATGATGATGATGATGAACATGATTGAAATGATGATGATGATGATGATGATGATGATGATGGCGTTCATCATCATCATCATCATGTTCATCAACATCACCATCACTATCATGTTAATCATCGTCATCATCATTTGCATCACCATGTTCCTCACCATGTTCGTGCGCTCTTCTTTTTCATATACGTTTCAAGTGTGCCGTTAGACTGACCCGACTGGAAATGCAGAGGATGCATTGTCATGCTTGTCATGATAACTCCTGAGTGCTGACGTTAACTGCTGGTGATGCTGAGGATGCGTAGTAATGATTTTCATCAGGATGATGATGATGATGATGAAGATGATGATGATGAAGATGATGATGATGCTGAACATGATGAACACGATGATGCTGAACACCACCATCTTCACTTTCATGGTGGTCATCATCATCATCATGTTGATCATCATCGTCATCATCATCATGTGCATCATCATCATCATGTTCATCATCATCATGTTCATCATCATTTTCATGATCATGTTCCTCATCATGTTCATCATCAAACCGTGGCACTCTTCTTTTTCACATACATTTCAAGTGTGCCGTTAGACCTGACTTGAGATGCAGGGGATGCGTAGCTATGGTTGTCATAATAGCTGCTGGTGATGCCGGGGGTGCATAGTTCATCATCATCATCATGATCATCATCACCATCACCATCTGATTGCATCCCCAGGTGTTCCTAACGGCTTACTTTTTGCGAAGACGAAGCGATGGCACAAAGTCCACACTTCGCATCCACAGCAAGACATCGAAGTCTTGAGAAGAAAAAAAGGCCCCCAACATGGTTTTGCAGCCCGAGTTTCCACACACCCGGGGCACTTCTTGTAAAATTCAACAAGATGCTTATTGTCATGCGAATTTATCCCGCAGTGGCTTGTTTGAGATGCAGGGAATGCGTCGTCATAATTATCAGAACAACTGCTGGTGATGCTAAAAATGCAAACTAACAATTATCATCATATCTGCTGGCGATAATGCGAATGCATGGTAATAATTATCAGCATCCCCAATGTTGGGAAAAAAATTGCATCATGAAAAACATCATCATTGTCGTGCTGTTCTTCTTCATATATGCTTTAAGTGTGCCGTTAAACCCGACAAAAATGCGTAATCATAATTGTCATAACAACGTGCACTGTCAGCAAGCAGGGGCCGGCGGCACAGGGTGGCAGCCCTTAAATCCGGCCACCGGACGTGATCGGGCCGCAGGCCAAGCCCGCAGGGCTTACCTTCAGGTATAAGGCCGCCCATGCCGCCGACCATGCGCGGACCATGAGCATACGTTTTGCGCTGGACCCGCCCGTATAAGAGGCGAAGGATTCGCGGATTGGTTTAGGCGATTTTTGTAGCATCTCCCCGCAGCGCCCAAAAACGAGTCCAAAAACGAGTATTTTTAGGGGGGGGCCGAATTGGACAACACCCCCAAGCATTGCCAGCATCATCCCGGATGATGCGGATGATGTCATGCATGCTGGCGATGCGAAATAAGGGGCTGAAGGGGAAATGCAAGGAAACAGGAGTGACTCGAAGTGAACGAAATGCAAGTCAAAGGAATTGCACGAAAATGAAGAGGGCACGGAGAGAAACCGAGCTGCAGGAAAATGCAAGGACGAAAAGGGAAAGGAATGCGAATGAAGGAGTCTTCAAGGAAATGAAGGGCGCTGAAACGGCAGTGAAGTGGAAGGAAGTGAAGGGACATGCCAGGAAACTGTCAGGGAAGACATGCAAAGGAATCGAATCATCCCGAGAACTAGCAGAACTTAGAGGGAAAGGAGATGAAAGAACGGGAAGGGGTGCCCGGTGCCCGGCTGTGTCGCGTCAGCGTGTGAATATACATATGTATATATATATATATATATGTGTCTATATGTGCTGGGGTGCAATATATCTGTATGCAGATATATATATATATATATATATACACATATGTGTGTGCGTGCGTGCGTGCGTGCGTGCGTGCGTGCGTGCGTGCGTGCGTGCGTGCGTGCGTGCGTGCGTGCGTGCGTGCGTGCGTGCGTGCGTGCGGTGTGTGCGTGCGTGCGTGTGTGCGTGCGTGCGTGCGTGCGTGCGTGCGTGCGTGCGTGCGGCGTGCGTGCGTGTGTGTGTGTGTGTGTGTGCGTGTGTGTGTGTGTGCGTGTGTGCGTGTGTGCGTGTGTGCGTGTGTGCGTGTGTGCGTGTGTGCGTGTGTGCGTGTGTGCGTGTGTGCGTGTGTGCGTGTGTGCGTGTGTGCGTGTGTGCGTGTGTGCGTGTGCGTGTGTGCGTGTGTGCGTGTGTGCGTGTGCGTGTGTGCGTGTGTGCGTGTGTGCGTGTGTGCGTGTGTGCGTGTGTGCGTGTGTGCGTGTGTGCGTGTGTGCGTGTGTGCGTGTGTGCGTGTGTGCGTGTGTGCGTGTGTGCGTGTGTGTGCGCGTGTGCGTGTGCGCGTGTGCGCGTGTGCGCGTGCGCGTGTGCGCGTGTGCGCGTGTGTGCGTGTGTGCGTGTGTGCGTGTGTGCGTGTGTGCGTGTGTGCGTGTGTGCGTGTGTGCGTGTGTGCGTGTGTGCGTGTGTGCGTGTGTGCGTGTGTGCGTGTGTGCGTGTGTGCGTGTGTGCGTGTGTGCGTGTGTGCGCGTGTGCGCGTGTGCGTGTGTGCGTGTGTGCGTTTGTGCGTGTGTGCGTGTGTGCGTGTGTGCGTGTGTGCGCGTGTGCGCGTGTGCGTGTGCGCGTGTGTGCGTGTGTGCGTGTGTGCGCGTGTGCACGTGTGCGCGTGTGCGCGTGTGCGCGTGTGTGGGTGTGTGTGTGTGTGTGCGTGTTGGGCAGAAATGTTAATCTGGGACCCTTTGGTGGACATCACTTCGGTGGGTATTGATGTCCATTACCCACGTTTGACAGGTGTCACTATTGAAATTGTAGGGGTACCCTCCCCATCCTTTCCAGGCATCATTTCTAGAAACTCTCCGGACAAGAACAATGGCTGCTTGGAATCAACACGTAGAAGAATAGAGCCAAACTGAAACCAGGGCCATCTATTTGCAGCTATGTGTCAGAGCCTCCAACCCCCTCGAGACTTGGAACTCCGTACACCAACAACATGGGTGTGTCTCAAAATTAGGGGACCCCCAAAATGGCCAACCTGTTTCCCTTCTGGTTTCTTCTGCAAACCACAAAGACAGGCACACCCCGCAAAAACATGACCCATTTTTCCAATGCTATTTCATTATTATGCCTTAAAACTAAAATTAGTTCGGAGAAGGCAACACAACAGGCACGCCCATGTGGAATTGGTTGTCTCAAAGGGAGCTCCACAAAATTGAACCTGCCACAGGGCAAGTCTTAGAGAGAGAGCTCCATTCTACTACTATTGAATTACCCCAAACTAGGCTTTAGCCCAGGCATATGGCTATGTGTCACAGTAATATGACTATGTGTCACAGTAGGGCACCCCCTGGCCGTATTCCCTTTCGTTTCCCGCTAAACCAAGCTAACCACCATCTACGAACATAAAAACCAAGGCAAACACATGCAAAACCAAGGCCTTGGTAAACAAAGGCCAAAAGCGAGCGTCTTTTTCGGGCCCCCCTAAAAGAAAAAAACTTAGACCCGTCCATCCGTCTATCGCGAACATTTCGCCCAAAACCGTCACGTTGCCACTGGGCGCCGTGCTCGAAGAGTAGCCGCACCAACTTCTCCGAGTCACCCCGGTACTTGCTGGCCTCGAGCGTGGGGACAATTTGGCTGTGAGGCAAAACCAATGGAATCCCATTTTGGTTGGTAGGAAAATTCGCCACCCATTTTAGGCTGTATTTTAGTGGTCGGATTGGGATGTTCACTGAGGGTACAAAATTTTGACCCATGGCCATTTGACTTGCTGCGCCCGTCCTGGGAGGCCCCTGGATGTTTTTCTCTCTGCCCAAAGCTCGAAGCGCAAAAGAAAGGGAGCTCCCTACCTACTACCTGGAGTCTCCTTCTGACCCAAGTCAAAGATGGGTCCATGACCCCATTTTGGGTAATGACCCCATTTTTTGAGGGCCATGGAGACTAACAAGGGAGATCACCCACATTCGCCAACCATTCTTTGGGGCAACAACCCATTTGAGGGTGGGTTGTCTTTGCCAGAAAACCCGAAAAAAATAGCGGATTCTCCTTTTTGGGCCTTGAAGCCGAAAAAGGGGGGCGCCCTTTAAGAAAAACGAGACGCACCGGCTTTTTTTTTGGGGGGGGCAGCAGCTTGGTTGATTTTTTGGTCGCCCCCTGAGGTCGGCGGCTTTTTGCCTGGCGACCCCGACCCGACAAACATGTAACGTTTTGTGAGTCCAATCCGTAAACCCATTTGGGCATGGGTCAAAATCCAAATCGTACCCCCAGTGAACATCCCAATCCAACCACAAAATCGACTAAAATGGGGGGGCGAATTCACCTCCCAAAATGCATTGGTTTTGACCCACAGCCATCTTTATACTCACAGAGGCCAATTGGGGGAGCTTCCGGCTGTTAATCCGAGGGAGTGCACCTAATCCCACCAGTTCAACCAATTTGTGTGGCAATCCACCTGTTTCAAACAAGAAGTTCAAGTCCAAAGATCCGTTACCAAATAGCCAAGAGTCCAAAAAGTTTCTAAGGCATACGCTTCCCTTTTGACAACTCCATGGGGCAACACAAACAGGCCCCCTACTCCAAACACAGGCTTTCATCAAACTCATGCCAACCCCTACACAAATGAGCATTTACCATCGAAACGTTCAATACCCGAAGAAAAATAGTGTATGTCTCAAAATATGGTCCAAACCCAACAAGTGACCAAAGTCCAACTCAGGAAGTGAGGTGCGGCAATTGGCCTTTGTGGTCATGGGGATGCCCTTGGCTCCCAGACTTTTGTTCCAAGTAAACCACCCTTTGAAAGGTCCACATCCTAACAAAAGACGAGCCACTTCCACGTGAGGCCAATCAGTGTTTCTTTGATAGTCTGGAGGGCCAGACGCCTTCCAAGTCCGCATCCTCCTCTCCACAGCAAGCGTTGCCCATGGCTATGGCTGGCCCCTTTCAGGAATTGTTTACCAACACAGCCGCCAGACGGCATGGCGAAGTTCGAAGATTCAAGAGCCGAGTAGGCCAGCTCACCCACAACGACCATTGGTTCTCCGCACATGGCTTCCTGGAGCCACTGCTTGTTCTCGGCAGTGATCTCAGTGAAAAGGACTGTTTTAGAGCGCAGGCCCAACTCGAAGCCAAACAGGCCGTCCTGCACTTTACCTGTTGAGAAATTAAAGGGCGTCCCAAAAGGTTCTATCCAGTTGAACCAGTTTTGAATATTTCAATATTCCCAGGTCTTGCAAGCTGCCATGGCAGTTCCCCAACTTCAGGACTGTTTCTCCCCTGGGCGCAGAGCATCCCTGACGTCCCGGTTCTGAAACGCCCCCGAAACGTTTCGGGTCGAAACACCAACGAAACACGGGGCCGAAACGGTTTCAAGCAAGTGACGATCGATGGAACTAGGCCATGGGAAGTGAATGTGTGTTTGTGTGTGTGTGTGCTTTTGTTACCCTTTTCTGTGCCGAAAGGGAAACCGAAAGGAAAACCATGTTTTTAATATATTTTGCCTCGACAAACAAACCGAACACTCATAGCTGCTTGCTAGGTGCAACCCTAAAAGCTGGGGAGGTGGGGGAAATGGGTCACAGTACACTAGGACAAGGCCTGGGCACCTGGTATCCGATAGGCATCATCTGATTCGGCATCGAGAGGTTTGGATGTCGTTCATTTATTGCAACTGGTTGGAGTCTCCTTCTGACCCTTATAAAAGATGGGTCCATGACCCCATTATTTTGAGTAATGAACCATTTTTTCAACTTCCATGGAGACTCCAGGTTGTTGGAGAACTGCTTGGGAGAAAAATCCAGGAGGCCCTTTCTGGCAAGGAACACAACTCATTATGAATGGCTAACAAAGGCCTTCCTCGTTGCAAAAGAAACAGCCAAGAAGGTTGAACGGCCAATGCAGCTTCTGGGTATGTGTTTTCCTGTTGGTTTCCCTTGAAACGACACCCCCGAAGGGCACGGTCCAAAACTAACTCTGTAAATCAACCCAAAGATATGGATTCGACATGTAACTGGTGTGACCAATGCCGCTCTCTTTGCCCGCATCAGGGTACGCCTCACACGCCTTGAAACATCACCCCACTCAGCTTGGCTTCTGTTGGCCCTGCAAAAAAGTGCTCAACTTTTTGCGGGTTTCATCCGGAAAACCTAAATTGATTTCAACCAAACAGTTAAAGTCTAAAGATCTGTTGCCCAATAGCAGCCAAGTCAGCCTCCCTCCAAATGGGCGGTTTGGAGCACGGCTTCGTGGTTTCGGCCCTCTGAGAATGCCCGCTTCTCTCCATCACAATGAATCGATGTGCCTCTATTTGCTTAAGTCCCCTGAAAAACAAAAAAGAACATATGTCCAGTAGTGTTACATTCCCTCTACAAGTAAATATGAACATGTCTTAAGCTTGAGGATACCCTGGCTCAACCCCCCCGGCTGTGCCCGCGGCCATGGTGGAGGCTGAGACGTTGAAGAAACTCGTGGAGCACTGCGTGGCCACCGCCTCCACTCGACTCAACTCGACTCGACTCGAATTCGCCAACTCGAGCACGGTCTCGGGCTAGGGTGCGCGAGTGTGTGTGTGTATATATATATATATCACGTGTGTATATATATATATATAAATATCACGTGTGTGTATATATATAAATACACGTAAAATGTGTAGAATTGCTGAATAAAGCGAGATAGATGTACACACACACACACACACAAGTACCCCTTGAATACATCCTCAGAAGGCACTTCGACCCTCTGGGATATGTGCATTTAGTCATCATCGGAAACATGGCTATTTCCGCTGAAGGACCTGGGAGACTGCTCCAAAATGTACCATATCATCTTGGAAACGTCGACCGAACCTCAAATATAGATATTTGTACATGCGCAACAACGGGTCCACACCATGTCCACATAGGGTGGTCATACAATCCAAAAACTAGAGGTCCATAAAAAGGCATGACCCCCCATGAGATCACACGCTGATGGTTTGAGCGCCCACCCATCCTGCGCTTGGCTGTTTTTGTCAAAAACTCACCAAAAAGGACACCTGAGTCACAATCAAAACCAATCGCTCCAGAACCGTGCTACCGTGCTTCAAGAATACAAGGCGGCGCAGGCACCCATTGGGAGTATCCCGATCCCTAACCTTCTACCCGTTGAGCACGTGGCTCACTGGGGTAGACCAAAATCAGTCTTGCTCTGGGAAATCCTTATGAAACCCGCGCTTCTTGTTGGTTTCTTTCTTAAACCAACCACAAAAGGGCCTCCTCCAAAAGAAAAAGATGGAACGATCTTTTTCGAAGTCATTCTGGTGTTTCTCAAAATATGGAAACCCCAAAATGGGCTGTCCTTAAAAAACCACCCAACCAGGAACGCAGCATTCTGAGCAGCCCTGCTTCAATTGAAGACCCCTCAGTCAAATGAAGAAACTCGCAATGTGAGCAGTTGCTCTCCCGCCAAATCCTCAAAGGGCATGGTGTTCTCTTTCTGGTTCCCTGAACTCAAGTTGGTTTCTGCAGCCGGATACAACCAAAACCGGGCTCGATCCTCAATGTTGGCTCGGCGCCCACTGCCACCCGATTCACCCAGGACCCCGAAACGGCCCGAATCCGAATTCATCATCATGGGGTCTGGGGGCAGCTCGAATAAGCCCTGATTAAGCCCTTATTGAGCCCTTCTCAAGCTCTTATTGGAATTAAGGCCTATTTAGGGCTTATTTTTCTCTCCCCCGCCTCCCTCCCCCCCAGCCAGCATGACATCAGCCAGATCGACGGATGCGGCCTTTGCCAGCATGGTCTTGCCGGTGCCGGGAGGTCCAAACATCAAAACCTCAGACTCCAGCGCTCTGCCCAAAGGCGACTCAGAAGTACCCAAGTGTTTAAACCTGAACCAGGGGTCTGTGACTTTTTGGGACCCTAAACCAAAGGTCTGCGATTGTTTTTGGAGCTTTCGAATTTCTGTGACGTCGTTGAAAGGTCAAATCAAATGCGAAGCTGTGTGTTCCAAACTTGCATGTACCAAAGGGTGAGACACGGTAAATATGTGTTGTGCCCCGATGAAGGCGAGCCACAGTCGAATCTTCCTGCGTGGTAAAGCCGGTTCTGTTTCCAGATCTAACAAACACCAGCCATGGTTCACGGGTCACTGGATTTCCCCTTTCAAAAGTTGCAATTGACCGGTGCTTTCACATTGAAATTGCCTCTTGTGGAGGATCCGCAAAGGAAATGGATGAAACCATGTGATTTGCTGGACCTGAACATAGGCTAAGACCTTCTGGATGACTAAAAGTAGAGCGACATGGGAAAACCACAAGCTTAGATCTCCGGGCGATTCGCGAAGTGAGAAAGGTGGATCACCATTTCTGGCGCAGCGGTTTTCCTGTTGCTTTCCTTTAAAACGAGCACAAAAAAGTTGAAGGCTGCCCTCGACAAAAAGACGAGCCGCGGTGTCCACGGTGGCTCACGCTGGGTGCCCCGAACACCCTTCCAGGGTCTGCGGATGCCCTGTGGGCAGAAAGGGCGCGGTGGGGAGCCGTGTTGGATGTCAAGAGTAACTCAAAAGGACACCACCTGAAAGGGTCCCGAATAGGAAATGTCTGATGTTTTGTATTGTAGAGGTCATCTTGCAAGGACTCTCAAAATCAGGGTCCTTCTTGATGCCTATTCGTTTTCAAAGGGAGGATCAATCAAATGCCTGCTGGTCTGCAGAGCCTTAGCTTTCGGTTCTGATGCTTACCCTCACCACAATGAATACAGTAGTGGCGAGAATGGCCACCTTCTTGTGAGCGAGTACCTAGTCAATCTTGGAGTGCCCTCCCACCAATACTTCAGTCAGACAAAAGTTCATGTTTCTATGTGTTTCCAAAAACCCTATCCGGTCAACCGCGGGTCGCAAAAAATATATCAAGCGCAATCCGTGTGGCAGGCGTGACTGTCGCACCCTTTCAATGGTATAGAATGCTCCGACTCCGTCAAAAATTCCCCACGCGATGCTGCGGTCTCTGAATCGGAGGTACGGCGCACCGATTTGCAAACGCCTGGAAGTACTCAGGCATCACGAGAGGCAGCACCACAGCCTGTCGATCCGACAGAAGACGTGTCGAATCCAAATCCAAGCAACTTTCGTCCAAACAGTTTGCTTTGTACAAGCACAAATGTTATGCAGTTTTAATGTAACAACATGTAATGTGCTGCAACTTAATCTATATAACTCAGTCTAAAGTAACGCTACAAAACGAATTCAACAAAATACAATGTAATGTACCTTCAAGCTGTGAGCGCCATGGCAATTCCGATTCCCTCATGCTCCTCAACAGGACATATCTCAATTGAGCAAACAATGGGCAGTCTCTGTAAGTATCATCTGTTGGCGAGAGCACATCCAACAGAAGCACCCATTGCAAGTAAACAAGCAAAACGGGAAATCAACTGGATGTGAGTCAATAGGGGCCACCCCAAGTACAAAAGCTGGCCCGCCACCTTCCACGAAACACCTCGCAGTCTTGAGCCCGCTCACGTGGCTCAAACCGCCACTTCGGCTGGAGCTCGATGCAAGGCCAAAGGCGGCTGAAGCCTTGCTATGAAAAGGGGTGCCGAGGGGGCAACCGGTTTTTTGCAACCTTGGCACACTTCTTTCTAACCCTAAACCCTATGTTGTCCCTTTTTTTCAACCTTACCCCCATGTTGTTTGCACATGTCCTGGTGTTGAGTTTACGAAAAAGTCTCCGCGTATCTTTGGGTTGAACATAAGCGGCGCCACTTTGGTCGGCCACTGCGCACTTCACTTCGCAGTGTAATCCCAGTTGTTCTGAGATCCAACGGCTCAATCCGTTTTGTTCAATCGTTTTACGGTTTGCTGTTTAGTGCGATTGAACAAACACAAGCTAAGCGGATTGTGTTCAATCGATTAACTGTTCAAACGAACCAATTAACAAATATCCCTTCCGAAAAGTTAACGTCTCAACATCGAACCAAATGGCAGCGTTTGAGTGTGACACGCAAGGTTGATAAGGCGGAGCAACACCCAAAAAGCGACAGTATACCAGTGAGCTTCCTGACTAACAACAAATATTTGATCTGGCTGCATGACCCGGCTAGAACACGGGAACCACGTATTTGGGGTTGACCTTTTTTTTGATTTAAGTGGGGGGTTTCAAGCGCGGTCATTCCTGTAACCAAAATAAGTTTTGGCACCTTGGAATCCTCTAATTTTACAAGACAATGAAGACCTGCCCCGAAGAGAATTGACTGAACTTGGTAATTCACCAATCCAGAGAATCAGGGCACATAGGTCCGCAAGGTTCATCATTTTTCGGCGTCCACTTCCGTCCCGCGCCTCTTCCAACAAGGACTTGGCCTGCTCCAGGCCGGCGATGGACTCCCACCTCAGGCACCGGCACTCCCCCGAACGCCTCAAGGAAAATCCCAACATGGCACGCCGATCTGGCTCTTCCTTCTTTGCGGTCAAGAAGAGACATATCATTTGTGGGTGGTTCTATTAAAACATGTCTTTGGCTTATCGGTATGATGGTTTCTGTTTTTTCGACGCCCAGAAAAGGGGGGAAGCCAAACGGGGCCGCTGAATCCGAGGTTGGGCACCTGGCCTTCCAAGGCCCAGGCAATGGACATAGCTGTGACATCCCTAGCTGGGAAGTACTTGGGGGCAGCGTACTTAGGGAGTTAGTAAGCGTGGCTCTAAGCCCTTAGGAGACTTAAGGGCTAACATCTTGAGCACCAAGAAAGGCACGAATCAGATCCTGCAATGACATGAACGTAAGTTGGGAATTATTTTGGTTTGCCGTCTACTAGCCCACCTGCGTGCGCCTGCTTGAAAAGCTGCCTACCCATGGCGAAAAATCTTGAAACCCAGGATCCAGTACCCGCAAAAACATTATGCTCAGACTCTGTTTCATACTTGTGTCTGTCTGTTTTTGGAGTTGGCACCCCTCTTTTGTAATCGGGAGGAGTCCCCTGGAACACACTCTTGGCCTGCCAGAAAATTTCTTTTGGAGACCCCATTATGGATTGATCTCTCAAAATCCAGACCCCAGTGGATTGCGCTTCGGAAAAAGGGCTTTTTGTTTTGGTGGTTGACTTCAAAAGGGCCCACCCCGGCCCCTAAACTTGAACAAAGGAAGCAACGCACTGGAGGCAACATAGGAAACCCCGCTGTGATGCTCGGGACAGATCCGACCCCCCGCACAAGGAGACTCGCTGGTGGAAAGGAACAAGGCAGGAAACTCGGAAAGGTATTTGCAACGTCGGGTTTCTGGTCCCAAATCTGAGGCACGCAAAACACCAATCCAGAACCTGGTCCATAGTTGGCTGACCCAACATCAATCTTGATTTTGTACTATTTTTTCCGTGCGGCTGAAAGTTCCGCAAGTTGAACCCCAAACAGGCTGTCCTCAGATCCACTGCTAAAAGTTTCACTTTGGGTTTTTAAAAAGCTAAGGAACCGGATGGCCTTCGGGAGCCAAGCCAAGCAGGCTTCCAGGCTCCCCAAGACTCTGGGCTCCGGGCGTGACCGAGGGGCAGCGATCCACACAGTCTCTCTCCAGATTCTGAATCAGCTCAGCCTTGGATGGGAAATGCCTGCCATGGTCTGATTGCAGCATCTCCCTATGCCAACCACAAGGGGTACCCTTCAAAAATAACAGACCCATATAGGAGATGGTTTCCTTCTGATTTAAATAAGAGAACAAATTGCCCTGATTGCGACTGAACAAAGCAGTACTTAGTCCTGATAGGAGTAAACCATGAGTGATTCTTCAGCCAGCGCATAACTCAGATGCCCAGTGGCCATGGGAAAGGGCACCCTTTTTTGTTGGTTGAGTTTAAAGGGGAACCCTTCCAAAAGAAAGGAAAAAAGGGCACCACTGGGCAACAGAAATAAACAAGCTACCATTTTGGGGTTCGAGCAATCCCGTCTCGCACCAGCTGGTTCCAGTGCTCGAGGGAAAATGGGCGCCTCGCTCATCCCTACAATCCATTTTTTCCGTTGAGGAGCTCGGTGTTCCTCGCCCTATTTGGCAAACCCGCCGCTCAGGAGAGCCTCCCGTCTCTTGTACTCATCGCCACCCGCGGTGAAACTCCGTGGGCGACTTTTGCAGAGTGTCACTGCGCTTGCGGCAGACTTGGGTCTAGATCTTCCGCTCCCACAGCTCACCTCTGCCTGCCCGGGCTTCTTGCTCACGGGCTTGTTGCGAGCGGAGCCCAAAAAGGTTGCAGACAAAAAAAAACAGCAAACCAGCAACCCCGCAGCGTGGACAGAGTGGACTCTTCGTGTTTCCTCTGGTTTCTTGTGCAGTTCCTTCCTCTATATGGATCAGTCTTTCTTGAGGGTACCCCCTTGAGTTGGAAGTTTGGGGGAATTCAAAAGGAAACGCGGCCCGATTTTGAGAAACGCCCATATCGCCTGGTTGACAAATTCGGTCCCTGTCTTTTTGCGAGTGAAACCTTCACTTTCTCACTTAAGTGCATCGGCAAAAAAAATGCTTTCGAGGCTTTTCAATATAGAAACCCGAGCCGCCCGTTTGGGACCTGCTTAGGTTTTAGCACAAAAACAAGCCCCCGTGAACCAAAAAAACAACAACAGCGAAACCAGGGCGCCCTTAGCCTAAGAGACGAGCCCATTTTGATTCCGGACCTTGCCACCCAGAGTAGCCCGAAAAAAACTTTGGGGCCAACTCTGGACACCCAAAATCGGAGACGTTCTCTTACGTGTCATAGCTCAAGCTGAGAAAAACATCGCAACGAAACCTCTGAAAAGGCTTGTTTCATGATTCTCCTTTGATTTTAGTCAACCTCATAACAACCTGAATTCTCCATGACCCTTCGAACAGAGGGAATTCCATGACCCCTGTCTTTGGGGCAAGGGAGACTCCAGAAACATCTGGGTGTGGCTGGCTTAAAATCAAAGAGCTAGGGCAAACTGCCGGTTTTTGTCTTTGGTTCCATGCAAGGCGGCACTTTTCGAGGAACCATATTTTCCTGATTTTCGGGGGGCCCCTCCAAAATTGTGGGTTCCCTTTTAGTTTCCCTTTCGCCCCGCCCCCCCCCAAAAAAAAAATAAATAATAAAAAAAATCGAAGACAAACCCAAACGGGACCCTTTTTTGGTGGTTTTAAAGGACAACCGTTCCGTTTTGGGGGGCCCAACTCCTAAAAAGGACAGGTGACCCATATGGGTTTGATCAATATATTTCAGGCCCTCCTAATAACATCATGAGCAACTTTCTCGTTGAATTATCATCCTGATTTTTGGTGGTTTCCCTGATGGTCGCCCCATAAGGGCCTTTTGATCAACCCCCACATGAGCTACCGTCAAAGTCACTTGCCTGCGTCAAGGATGTTTTCATGTAGTCATCGTGTTTTGGTGGGGGCCCCTTCGTTTTGCGAGGCCTTCTGCAAACTTATGCTGTCAGCCCTGCTTTGCGAAAGCGATCTACACATATTTTGACCATGACTCATATGGCTGGTCACAACCCCTGCTGAACATCCAAAAAGATTTTCCATGGATGTTCATCCGCCCCAAAGTGGGATCGCCATAGGTTATGCCCCATGACTCCTACGCAAATTTTCCGCAGGGACCTGCGGACCAAGGCGCGTCGGGCCCTGAGCCGCTGGAGCCATAGACGTGCTCCAAGAAGGAGCCCGCCTCTACGCCCTGCGGGTCGAAACGACCACTTCACTTGGTTGAAACATTTTTTCAATTTTCACTCAAGTGGTTGGACTTCAACCAAACCACAAGTGTCCCAGCAACAACCATGTTAAAGGGGCAGGGTAGTGGCTATAGCCCACTTAGATTTACAACCATGGAAAGCGGGCTATATCCATAGCACTCAGGAGACGACAAAAACTATGGTTGCTACTCACTTACTAGGTACAATGCCCTTTTCAGCGCCCTCCAACATGGCACCTGGGGCACACTCTGGTAAGTTCCATCATGACAGGAGTTAGGAGATTCTACAGAAAGTCTCCAAGCCTTCTGGGCGCTTGGGGGGTGGGGTGTGGGGTGGGGGGTGTGGGGTGTGGGGTGTGGGGTGTGGGGTGTGGGGTGTGGGGTGTGGGGGGTGTGGGGTGTGGGGTGGGGTGGGGGGGGGTGTGGAGTGGGTGGGGTGTGGGGTGGGGTGGGGTGTGGGGGTGGGGTGTGGGGTGTGGGGTGTGGGGTGTGGGGTGTGGGGTGTGGGGTGTGGGGTGTGGGGTGTGGTGTGGGGTGTGGGGTGTGGGGTGGGGGTGTGTGGGTGGGGTGTGGGGTGGGGTGTGGGGTGTGGGGTGTGGGGTGGGGGGTGGGGGGTGGGGTGGGTGTGGGGGTGGGGTGTGGGGTGGGGTGGGGTGTGGAGTGGGTGGGGTGTGGGGGGTGTGGGGTGTGTGGGGTGGGTGTGGGGTGGGGTGGGGTGGGGTGTGGGGTGGGGGGTGGGGTGTGGGGGGTGTGGGTGGGGTGTGGGCCTCGCTTGACGCAACTGAGGTGAGTACGATATGTTCGACAGAAACTGTTGCAGCGGCTTGGAGTGAATTTTCAGGGGTTCGAAAAGTTCCTTTTGCGAGCAATTTACCCCTGTCACCCAGTCGTGTGGATGGACAAACATATTTACACCGGGTTTCATCCGTCACTGGAGGCAAGCGTGGGTTTTGTCCGTCCACACCCATGCCGCTTCATAACGTATCCCCCAACAATCCCAACACAAGATGGATGGGTGGGGGTAGGCCACCTTTGCAACCAGTGCAACCAGTCGGTGGGGATGTCCATCAAATTGTGGCAACCTGAACCGAGGTTTCTCGGACATGCAGTTTTTAGGGAACTCCACTTTCTGTATGGGAATTCCCTTTGTGAATCTCAAAATTGCCCAAGAACCCCCTCGATTCTCACATTCTCTGCTACGGTTCTTGCCCAAGGCATGAAATTAAGATCGGAGTTCACGGGTAAGTGTCCCGGATTAATCAACCTGATGGATTAATGGGGAGTGCTTCCCCGAAAAGTGAAGGATGCCCTCAAAAATGAGACCCCTATTAATCAAGCAGGGTTTATGACTTGACCGCACCAAGGAGGCTCATGGGTTCGAGCGATGACGAGGACGAGGCGACAGTGCTTGAACAGGGGCCCTTATATTTAGAGAGCTCGTCACTGTGAGCGTGCGCTCTTTTCACATTTTAATCAGGAGTTTGAGTTGAACTCTGTTTGAATAAAATGTGATTTGTAAAGAAATTATGTTGGACAGGAACATCCTGTGTAAAGTCCAATTGAAAATAGGATAAATCTACCTAAAATTCCATTATACAATTTGATTAGGATATGTCCGTAAAGTTTGCTTAAACTCTACTTGGATTGTAAAGTTCCATTTGGAAAGGGAGTTCTATCTAGATTCTAAATTTAAGATATAATGTCCATTAAGATTAGCTAAACTCGTAAATTTGGGATATAATTCCTAGTAGCCTAGTAGGGTTCGGAACAAGTATTCCCTTTTTGAGTCCAGTTTGAACCCTATTCAAACTGCAATTGAATTTGGAGAGCGGCCATTAGTGGAGATGTGAACTGAGAGTGAAAATGCTAAAAAACACTGTGTTTTACGGTGTTTTCTGACCATGCTAGTGCTGGGGCTAATAAAACAACACGATTTTTGGACCTGTGAATTCTTTCTTATAAAATACCTTAATCAAATTCTACCCAATATCGAACTGAACTTAAATAGAACTCAATAAGGAAATAATCCAATCATAATGTCTATGTTAAAGTAGGCTTTTAATGATAGTTATTCTATCTCAAATTAAATGCTACACAGGATGTCCTTTCCAATGCAATTGTCTTTGCAACCCAGTTAACACTAAAACAGATTAAACAAAAATTTGGGGTCTGAGCTCTTTCTTTGTGAGCTTATTATCTTTATCAAATTCTAGTCAATGTCTAACTGGCATTAGATAGTAGTTAATAGCTTGGGGACATAGGGCCTGCAATTTTGCTTTTTGTTTTTTGCAAAACTCGTGTTTTTGGGTTTTTCTGGAAAAGTGTAAAAAATCGAGTTTTCCAAAAACACAAAAACGTGATGACCCTTTGGTGCATTTCTCTTATTGCTCTTCAGACCCATTGTCCCAGATGCAGACGCGGATGCAGATGAAGATGCACATTCTTTCAGGTTTAGCTTCTAGATGCTTATTTTCATGAAAAAAGCGCACGCTCAGGGTAACGTGTTCTGTTTTTTTTTGGGGGGGGGAAGGCGGGTGCCTCGATCCAAGCTTGCGGGCGATTGCCCGTTCTTTTTGAATGTAACCAGCAGTGCTTTGGCTGGACCTTTGCTTTTTGCAGTTGATTGCCCAGGGGCTACGAAGATTGGAAACACCCTCAAAATGGTTGCATGGTGGTAAAAAGACGATGACCGTCCAAACGTCTCCAACGTTAAACCGCAGTAGGCAAGGTAGAACATGCAAGTAGGATGCATCTTGCGTGCCGTTTCATGTTGCTCTCCACTCTGGCCAGGTACCAAAGAATCGCATAGGTATGAAACCAAAGAGGTTAGGTTCATGGCCATGGGCTCCCGGCGTTTCCCTGAAGATGGGGCCCTGCGTGTTCATCTTTCCTGTGGGGGTGTGTTTTTTAGAATTTCCTTGAGAATTCGGGTATCCCTTGGTTGGTGGCTTTGGGAATTGAACCCGAGGGTAAATGGGGAAACCAGCCCTGGGGTGGGGTGTGGGGGGGGTGTGGGGTGTGGGGTGGGGTGGGGGTGGGGCGGGGTGGGGTGGGGTGGGGTGGTGGGGTGGGGTGGGGTGGGGTGGGGTGGGGTGGGGTGCGGTGGCGTGTGTGGTGTGGGTGGGGTGGGGTGGGGTGGGGTGGGTTGTGGGGTGGGTTGTGGGGTGGGGTGGTTGGTTGGTGTGGGGGTGGTGGGTTGTGGGGTGGTGGTGGGTGGTGTGGTGGGGTGGGTGTTGGGGTTGTGGGGGTTTGGGGGTTGGGGTGGGGGTGTGGGTGGTGGGGTGGTGGTTGGGTGGGGTGGTGGGTGGGGTGGGGGTGGGGGGGTGGGTGGGGGGGTTGGGGGTGGGTGTGGGTGGTGGTGTGGGGTGGGGTGGGGTGTGGGTGGGGTGGGGTGTGGTGGGGTGGTGTGGGGTGTGTGTGGGGTGTGGGTGTGGTGTGGGGTGGGGTGGGGTGTGGGTGGGGTGGGGTGTGGTGGGGTGGTGTGGGGTGGTGTGGGGTGTGGGGTGTGGGGGTGTGGGGTGTGGGGTGTGGGGTGTGGGGTGTGGGGTGTGGGGTGTGGGGTGTGGGGTGTGGGGGGTGGGGGGTGGGGTGTGGGGTGTGGTGTGTGGGGTGTGGGGTGTGGGGTGTGGGGTGTGGGGGGTGGGGGAAAAAATACATAAAATGGCACTTCCAGAACTAAAACCAAAAAATCAAACAGCATACAACAAAATCAGCAAAATTCACAGAAAACAAGATAAGAACCACCAAGCAACTCAAAAACCAGAACAACCCCCAACAAAATATTTAATCAAAGCATAAAACATTAAATAATTCAATCAAGCATACCAACAAAACAGCAAAAATAAAAACCATCAAAGAACACAAACTCAAAACCACACATTAACAAAAACAAAGCAACATACCAACAAAAAATATCAGAAGAGTATCAAACAAAATAAAATACAAACAGCCAAAGCACGAAAAAATCAAAAGAGCATACCAAGTTCAAACAACGCACTTTGAAAGAGACAAGCAAATCAAGGAAAAATGAAATGTTTCAATCTTTACAAACCATAAGTACAGTATAATTACAACGTATAAGATTTTACATGTTATAATTATATTACAATGCAAGCACACATACCCTTTGCGAGTTTCCACACATACCCTGTGTGAGTTTCCACACATACCCTGTGTGAGTTTCCACACATACCCTGTGTGAGTTTCCACACATACCCTGTGTGAGTTTCCACACATAGTCTGTGTTAGTTTCCACACATACTCTATGTGAGTTTCCAGACTTGTCCATTGCTGGTTTTGGATGTCAAACAATACAGCTATTCCAACCGAATGTGGAACAAATTAAGAAATTGTTTTTCATATTATTTAGTCATAATATGATTAAACATTGTTAAATTTTATAACCCTCATGGGGCATGTGTAGAAATCCACGTGAGCTATGTGTAGCCTATGTGTAGAAACCTACATGGGCTATGTGTAGAAACCTACATGGGCTATGTGTAGAAACCTACATGGGCTATGTGTAGAAACCTACATGGGCTATGTGTAGAAACCTACATGGGCTATGTGTAGAAACCTACATAGGCTAAGTGTAGAAACCTACATGGGCTATGTGTAGAAACCTACATGGGCTATGTGTAGAAACCTACATGGGCTATGTGTAGAAACCTACATGGGCTATGTGTAGAAACCTACATGGGCTATGTGTAGAAACCTACATGGGCTACGTGTAGAAACCTACATGGGCTATGTGTAGAAACCTACATAGGCTATGTGTAGAAACCTACATAGGCTAAGTGTAGAAACCTACATGGCTATGTGTAGAAACCTACATGGGCTATGCGTAGAAACCTACATGGGGTATGTGTGGTGGGGATATATCTATAAGAATTTCAAGTTTCAAGCCCAGCCCCAAACTCAAAATCCTTAATCCGTCAAACTCGCCAAGATTTCACAAATTAATTCGCTAGGTATTTTATATAGGT